TTGGTAAATAATGCATTAACTGGTACTTGCAGTGGCTACAAATAACTTAGTTTTGTACTGTTCATACAATAACTTAGTACATTTATCACTGAGAATTTAAAAAAAACAAACAAACAATTCAACTACTTACACTTCCCACATAACACAAATAAACTAAAAATAAATCAAAACTCACAAACAAAAGCCAAAATATCCCCAACATTTATCACTTTGATAAATTTCTTGATATCACTACCAGTACCAAATGATCATTCCACTAACACAAATCACATCAAAAAAGTCTTCAAAATTTCTCATTATCAAAATGATTGACAAATACCTATCTACTACCATTTCACATGGTATTATATGATCTACTTAAACAACTGTTTTACTCCTGATGCAAATATATCAATTACCTAAGGTTTTACCATTGCATTTGAAGTTGCACTTGTTCTTCTTTAACCTGACATACATGCATACCAACAACAATAAAAAAAAAAGGAAGAAAAAAAGAAAAAGAAAAATCGTACAAGCATTGCCTAGAAAAAAAGCAATGATAAAAAAGTACGGCTGTTCATCTAACCTGGAGACCCGGCAAACCGTATAATCCGAACCCACCCGACGAGCTACGGACAGTTTTGCATGTGCTGTGGTTTGGTTGTGGGTGTAAATCTATTGTTTTAACAAGTTCACGGTCGGTCATGGGTAGGAAGCTTGAACCAAAAACCATTTTAAAATACCTTCAACTTCTCAGACTTGGAAACCCAAAAGACAACCTGGGAAACCCAACCCTCCTCTCTCTCTCTCTCTCTCTCTCTCTCTCTCTCTCTCTGCGTAGCAGAGTTCTCAAACTCAACCAACCCCTATATTGCAACATCAAAGATGGTTAAAGTAGCTCTCCCTACAAGCTCACCTCCTCTGAGCTCGCAATGACGATGCGTGTGATGGTAGCGTACTCGTAGTTGCGGCGGTGGACTTGCAATGGCGATGGTGGCAGTGAGTTCCTTTATTCACTCTACTAACTCTCCACGCTTTCAGATCTCTCTCTACAGGTCTGGATGTGACTTTCTTAGATCTGATGATTGATAACTGAATCTTGTATTCTTTCTGTGAAACCGGCAAAGCCAACTGACAAAACCAAACGAAAGTGCGGTCGAGTTCGAGGAAAACGGCGGTCAACAGAGGTTGATATTAGTGCCAAACTGAAGGGGTCGGTTCGAGTGCTGGTTAAGACTGCAAACCTGAGCCAACTGACCCGTGAACACCTTAATAAAAGGAAAGGGAGAAAAGAAACCATCCAGCCCTAAGTTGCAAGTGCAGTTACATAACACAAATATGCTGATGTGACCTGGCTCTCATGAGACTTTCTTCAGTAGTGGCCAATAATGGCATGATGAGATAGAGTGCACATCAGATCTTCCAAGCCATTCAGAAGAGAAGAAGACATATTAATGAAGAGAGAAGAGAAGAGGGACAATTTATCAAATAAATAAATAAATAAAGAGAAGAGAAGAGGAGAAGAGAAGAGGGACAGATAGAAGATACAAATAAGAGATGAGGGAGGAAGAGAAGATAAAAATATGAGAAGAAAGAGAGTAAAGAGATTTAATTTAACATAGAAGAAAAAAAGCCAAGAAGCAGAGAGAAGAAGAGTGCACCTCTTCCAAATATTTCAATTTTAATTCCTTTTCAAAGGCATCATCTCATTTTCTCGTAAGAGGCCCTAATAATACGTAGTTACCATATGAAACTACCCTAGCCCATATAGTAAAAACTTCAGCCCAAGAGTTTATCCCTAAAATTCTATATAAAAAAAAATTTAAAATAGAAAACAGCAATACATACAACTAAAGCAATCACAAGTCCTAATAGAATTCTAATGATTGAAATACATCAATTGACAATCATCTTCTCAGTTCTCATAGTCTTAGACCAACTTGGGTGCATTATGTCAATAAAATCATATTATTACAAATACATAGTGATTATAATAATCATTATTGTTGATTTTAAGTCTTATGCTTTACTAATTTCTAAACAAAGGAAAAAGCTACCAAAGAGGATTGTCCTTGTTACTCCCATATTTAATGATATGTTGAGCACATTAGGACCACAGATTTAAATAATTAAATAACAAAAAAAATATAGACATTACATTTTCATTTCAAATTATAAACTGTAAACCATTCCAAATTAAACTTTCATTTCACTAGCATTTCCATTCTATTCCACTAGCATTTCCATAAACTGAAAACCTGTAAACATCCTATGCCACTAGCATATTTCAATGAACTAAAGAAACTGATTGTCAAAACAGGTATAGACTAAAGAGATAAGACAAACAGTAAAGGTCATAAACCAAACCAAATATGCCATAAATAAGATATCAGGTTAATCCTTTGTGTGCACCAGAGACACATAAGAAAACATACCACTGCAGGGAAGTATGTCTCTTCACCAGATTCTACCACTTCATTGGAAACCTAAATGTTGTGTGCACCAGAGACACATAAGGAAACATACTACTGCAGAAGGATTATCCAAACTAACATGAAGTGCAAGGAAGTATGTCTCTTCACCAGATTCTAGCACTTCATTGGAAACCTAAATGGATAAATATATGTCAACAAGGACTTCAACCAAACAAAAATATTTTTAAAATGCAACTAACGGATGAGACATCTAAACCAATTGCATAACCTAAATAACATCAAGGGACAACTTCATAAATATATAACTGCAAGGAATCCATAAGAAACACAGAAACTGAATTACCATTGTGCAAATACCAGACAGACTATGGATAATTTTTTTTGATTTTATTCTGGGCAATATGATCCATTAAACTAATCAATTTTCAGCTCACACCTCAAATTATCCATGCTGCTGGCTATATTGATGTTGCAAATTACCAAATTACACCATTTTTAAATTACAGCAGTAATATTGTTAAAGGAAAAAAATAAGAACAGAGAGGTTATTGATGATCTAAGAAAAACCAATATCATATAGCATGCAGAAAAACCAGTATAATTATCCATGCTGCTGGCTATATTGATGTTGCAAATTACCAAATTACACCATTTTTAAATTACAGCAGTAATATTGTTAAAGGAAAAAAATAAGAACAGAGAGGTTATTGATGATCTAAGAAAAACTAGTATCATATAGAATGCAGAAAATCCAAAGATGTCGGTCGGTGTCGGTCGGGTGCAGTGAACAACACATCAGTAGGAGTGGATGATGATTTTAAAAAAATAAATAAATAACCAAACTAGTTACAGATCTAAGAGATGTACCAAAATAATTCTCTTCCCTCTACAAAATAGTTACAAATCTGATGCTCTGCCTTCTACTCGTGTTCGTTGATGATGAAGAGTGTCTGACGGTGATGAGTTCGACAAAAATATTGAAGATAATCAATAGAGGATAGATTGATGAGAGGAGACAACCATCGTAAGAGATTAGTAATGGAAAGAGATGTCTGGAAGTGGGGGCAAAAAACAATGAAAGAGATGAGGAAAAAAACCAGAAGAGACTAAAATCTCAAAAGCATTGAAAGAATATTGGGAGATGAGGAAGAGAGAGAGAGAGAGAGAGAGAGATGAAAAGTCCCAAATGTATTGAACGAACGAGAGAGAAATGTGCGTCGGTGGATGAGGAGGGTGAGGGCCGAAGATCACCAGCAACATATATGTATATGTATATATATAATATGACAGATGGATTTTTGAAAAAATATAGGTAGTTTTTGGTTATTTTCAAAATTCAATTCTTTTTCCAAATCATCATTTGAATTAAAATTAGGGGCAAATTACATATACACCCCTCCAGGTTTGACAAAATTACAGATACCCCCCTGAGGTTTGAGAAATTACGAATTCCCCCCTGAATGCTATATTTGCATAAGAAATTAGGGGGTAATTTGTTATGAAATATAAACCTCAGGGGGTAAATTGTTATGAAAATACAAACCTCAGGGGGTGGGATGTAATTTCCGAAACCTCAAGGGGGTATCTGTAATTTAACCAAACCTGGAGGGGTGTATATGTAATTTGCCCTAAAATTAATTAGCCTATCACCCGTATTATGCACGGGATAATTATAGATATTTATATTTGTTTTAGACTTCTTTTAATATATAAATTATATTTTTTAAGATTTTTTTATAAAAATAATTTAACAATCATATCACTAACCATAGTGTATGGAAGAAGTTGGAAAGGGTACTCCAATAACTATACACTAGCCTATCACTCGTGTTATCCACGAGATAATTATAAATATTTATATTTGTTTTAATTTTTTTTAATATATAAATTATATTTTTTAAGATTTTTATAAAAATAATTTAACAATCTTATCACTAACCATAGTGTACATGAAAAATTAAAAAGGCTACTGCAATAACTATGCACGGGTTGTATCTATAATTATTTGTAGGAGGGAATTTTAAATACTAATCAGGTATTTTGACCAAATCAATAAATGTAGGCATGTGGATTGAAAAAAGTTAATAAATGCTGATCAGGGGATTTTGACCAAATCAATAAATGCTGCGTTTTCTTTTTTAAATCAAAAATTTAGAAAATTAAGATTGAGATATTGGAGCTTCCATAAGGCTTGGGGTTTAGAAACCCCATTTTCCTTAATATGTTTACAATTATCTATATATGTGAATTGTAATTTTTAAATGTCTTTTTTTTTTTTAAATGTCTTCTTTTTTTCCTTTTTTATATTATATTAAAGTTTAATATTTTGATAATAATCATATGTGTTGGACTTTTCAAGGAATTAAATGTCTTCTTTTTTTTATTATATTAAGTTTAATATTTTGATAATAATTATATGTGTTAAACTTTTGAAGAATTTTTTTTTTATGATTGTTCTTAATGCATTAAAGTGTTATTATGAGGGATAATAATCATATGTGTTGAGACTTTTCAAGGAATTTATATGTGTTGGATTTCAAAGAATTTTTTTTATGTTTGTACTTAATGCATTAAAGTATTATTATGAGGGTAAGACTTGAGGGTTGGGAGAAATTAATAAATGCTAATGTGTTTTTTTTTTTTTTAAATCAAAAAACTAAGAAATTTAGATTGGGAGATTAGAGCTCTCACAAGACTTGGGGTTAAAAATCTCCTTTTACTTAATATATAACTAGCATATCACCCGTGCTATGCACGGGATTAAATTTCTTTTAAAAAAAAAACTATTTATATTATGTCAAACATATTTATATATTGTTAGCATAAAATATATGTAATTTTAAAAGAAAATGTTGATATTGCATAATTAAAGTAATAAAAATAAGAATTTATTACATTTGTTCGAAATTCCCTGAATAAGTAAAACAAAAAAAATAACAAAAATCTAAATTGTTGTGGGCATTCCATCAGTATTCCTGCATTGCCAACATGATAGTTAGGTGGTGTTTGGTTATCATATTTGGCTAAATAATCACAAAAAGATAAAAAAAAATTCAAAAAATCACAGAAAGCCAAAAATCACAAAAAGGCAAAAAAAAATCCATTATTCCAAAGTTAAAAAGCCAAAAAAGCCAATCAAGAATACCAAGCGAACGAAAAAGTCTCAGGTTAAAAAAGTCAAAAAAACCAAAAAGTCAACTAAAAAAGTCATTGCCAAACGAAGGCTTATTATTATAATTAATGAACAATACAGATATTATGTATTTATAAAATGTTATACTTACATTTTTTTTTTAACATTCTGAAATATATAGACATTCTTCTGACCAATCTACATTTAAAAAAAATAATCGTTGAACTAACA